ATACGGATGAAGTCTCACCCCACTGTGTGGTGTGGACTTCAGGGGGAGGAGGACACAGGTCCGTAGTGGATTCGGTTCCTGCATTCTCGACCATTGAAGGACATGAAGGCGAAGGAGCAGAATATGCAAAACAAGACTTACCTGGAGCTGATGTAGCTGATGAAGTCAGTGCACTTGAAGGAAGCGGAGGTACAGCTGATGGCGTACCTGTGACTGGTGTTTCCATTTCGGAAGGAGTGGAAAATGATGATGTGGGAAATGAGGTGGACAAGCCAAGCAAGCAGCATCTCACCTGCAATTTGCTGGTTGGACAAGGCAATCATCAAGTCAAGGATTCTGGTGTTGTACTCATCTGTGCGGCCACCTCGAACGGTGCGGCACAACATGGCATCACCTAACTCCACACTCACTCATGTGCTTGTAGCTGTGTACGCGGATCACTACAAGCACATGGGTGGCGGGAGGTGGGGTGTGGAGTATGTCTGGTGGCATAAGTGTGGGACATGGAGTCAAGAAGCATAAGGGGAAGACCTACTCACCAAGGGTTGCCAAATAGGCAGGGGGAGCAGGAAGAATGAATGCAACCGGTCGTCATACGTCGTGCTTCAGTGGTATTGTGGTATTGGTTGCAGCAGATGAACGGTACCACCTGAGGGAAGAGTGGATAATATACATGGGAGCACTGCGTACCTGGTGTGCACAACTCTGCATACTTGGAGTGCGCTACATTCTTGGAGTGCACAACTCTGCATACTTGGAGTGAGCTACATTCTTGGAGTGCACAACACTGCATACTTGGAGTGGACATTTCTGCATACGTGGAGTGCAGAGTTTGGGATACTTGGAGTGCGTCGGCATGCACAACTCTTTAGCTGATGGAGTTCGGCAACTCCGACTGCTACCGTGTGCCGGCTGGAGTGTATGGGGAGCATCACATGACAACATAGGTGAAGTTTGAGCAAACTTGGCATGATTGCCAAAGCATGGGGAGAAACTGTCGCGCGAAGTGTGCGCCCACCAATGCAGTTCCGCGCCAGCCGCACACCCTGTGTTATCTGCTACCGATTCGCGTCATCCGCAACTGCAGTCGTCGGAGACGCGCATCCACTGCGGTTTCGCGTCGTCGCACAGGAGGCGTGCGAAAAAGTCAGCAGCATTGACAATCGCGTGTAGTCAAGTCTACGGTTTCGGAAATTCGGCGTGCGCTCAGGGCATTCTGCCATGACGATACGCGCATTCCGCCATGGTTTTGAGGAGATTACGCCATGGAGCTGCTACGATTTCCTCAGCATCAACCACTACTCTCTAGATCTCGATCTAGAATGAGGAGATTGGAAGGAGGGAATGGAAAACGTGAAGGCATGTGGTTTGAGTTTGGAAGGCGAAAAGGTTGGGAGGGGAAAGGTGCTACAGTGACAAGCAGCTTGGCCAACACCAAACCCTAACTTGGTTTGGGCGCACCCCTACCTAGTGGTGGTATACCACCTCGACCACCCCATCCTCCAAGGAAATCGGATTCACTAAAACCTACACCAAGGGGGAGTGTTGGAAATCCGAATACAGTATAACGAATACTGTATACCAGTGTGCTGTTTGGTTTTAGTGTAGTCCTCTTTATAAGCTTCCAGGTCCTACAATTATTGTAGGGGCCAGAATTATTGGAGGTCAGCATTATTGGAGGGTAGAGGGTACAATTATTGGTACACCATTATTGGTGTGAATGGGTCATTCTGGAGGGGTAGCTGGATGCATATATACCCTGCTGTGACAAATCATTGAGTACACATTGTGTCATCATTCTACTTTTCAATGATCAATGCAAGATTTCTATCTTGTTCTTTTCTACAAACACGTTTCCGCTACGCTGGCACTATGCCTTTCTAGCAGGAGGGAACCTCGCGTGAGTGATGTTGGGTGCAGGTTTGGCGAAGGAAAAATGCCGAAGGCGACGCGAGGAGCCTCAGCATCGTTGATGTCGGCCAAACGTGCTTAGTCCGAAAATCGGGGTTGAACTCGAAGCAGTCAACCCCGATCAGGATTGCGGGAAAATTCCTTACACTACCCCCCCCCCCCCCCCCCCCCCCCCCCGTAAGAAAGGTGGTCAATATCCGCAGCACGCTTTTGGGCAAGACAATCACCAATAAGCAAAGATGCCTCAAGCGAAGCCGATGACACCCACGTGTCGTCTTCACTGGTGCAGTCGGTCCAACAGATTAGAAAATCCTGGTGGCTACCAGCTACATCCAGCAGTACATGATGCGCCAATTGTCAGAAACTAACGAGCAGAAATGTGGTACAAGTACTAACCCTGTTTGGGTTGTACCCCATATAAGCTACCCCACTACAGCCTACACAACATAAGCCGTACTATAGTTTGACACACCCCCATAAGCAAAGTGGGGGAGAACAAGGGGTCACAAAATCAGTCAAGAGAAGCAAAGCAAGCTCAGGGTGGATCACGAAGTCACCACACATTCTGAGCACAAGCAAGAGGCCACAAGGCCAGTTCACATGCAGAGTTATATATATGGGAACAAGTAGTACAATGATCACAGCCTAGCAAGTGTAAGCATACAGACACAAGTATATATATTACAGTACAAGCAAAGTCACGAAGTGAGGAAGTGAGGCAAAATAGGCAAGGTCTAAAACAGTACAGAAACGCTGATGATCACCAGGTTGAAGTGCCTTGGTGAATATATCAGCAGTGTTGGCCCGAGTGGCCACGTAAGCAAGACGAAGCTGACCACGCTGTTGCAACTCTCAAGCAAGGAAGTAACGCAGCGCGATGTGCTTCATCCTGTGCTCCAGTTTGTGCTCCTGGCACAAGGCAATCATGGCCTTGTTGTCGACGTACAGAACTGGAGGAGAACTAGGCTGCTCTCCCAAGTCGGTCAAAAGGTAGGTGAGCCAGCGTAACTCCTGTGCAGCCATGGCCCCTGCTTAGATCTCGGCCTCACAACTGGAACTGAGAACAAAAGACGATCAGGTAGACCGCCAAGAAAAAGAACCAGAGTCAAGGCCGAAAGTGTAACCCTATGACGACCGCTGCGTAGCCAAGTCGTCAACCCAAAACGCGTCTGCGTGGCCAGTGAGAACAACTCGACTCCTTCCTCCAAGCACGAGCCCCATGCCCGACGTACTGCACAAGTAGCGCAACAACCTCAAACGGCAAAAGCGTGTCATTCGGACAAGACTTACGTGGTGTAGTAAGCACCGTAGCCTTTCTTAGGAAAACCAGGAGTCTGGCGTTCGGCTAGATGCTTCACCAAGTCGACCCACATCTCGATCGGTGCGTCCTGTTGGCATATGAAGAGCAGGGTCACGGCCAGAGCGATCACACGCTCCTTCTCGATGTCGCACACCGCGGGGCAGTTGTCAAGCAATGTCTGTCCCTTTGCCTTCCTCTCTGCGTTTTCCTGCTCCTTCAAAGCACGTTTGTTCTTCCTCGTTCTCTGGTGTGCTCGGAACGCTTGGGTCTGAATGTCAACTGCACCATGCCCTGCGCGGCCGAATTTCGTTCCTATCACACCCTGAGCCACACATACACCGCATTTCACGGAGGGAAATTCGTCAGGTTGCTGACACAAAACAAGCCACGGGAAATCACCTGACCACTCTTTCGTGTATCGGTACAGGGCGTCCTGATACTTCAGCTCTGCCTCGTCGACAAGCAGAATGGATGAGTTGGAGGTGGAAGGATTGGAGGGGCCTGCGATTGGGGACGGTGTCGCGGTTGATGCTGAAGGTCCAGCGCAGGCACGATGGAAGGTAATCTGCGCTTGCCGAAAGCGCATCGTGCCGTGTCTCAGCCCTACTCTCACGCCCATCCGCCTTGCTGGTGTCGGCCGTGACGTAGACGCGGGAGGAGGCGACACCTCGCCATCCTGCCCATCTCAGCGGTAGAGTAGAGCCGCGTTTCAGAAGTCGGCGCAGCCCTAGTTGATAGATCAGGCTGAGAATCAGCCTGAGCAGGAGTTGAGGCCGAGGGTGGTACCGTGGGACGAAGGGCCCCTCTAATAGCGTGCTGGGTGGAAATCGCACCAGGGAGACGAGTGCGGGCCATGTTAACGATAGCGCTCGCAGGTCGGAGGACGTCAAGGCCCGTAAGGCCACGAATGCTGTTGTTAACAATCGGAGCTAATACATGATCTGTGTGGGTGAGAGGCGGGCTAGAGTCCGCCATGGCGATCGAGAGGTATTCAATGCGGATTCCCAGAGCATAGCATAGTGTTTGCAACCACCGCAGAGCAGAGCCTGCCGAGCAAAGAAGAGACGTACTGAACAGATGGAAGTGCATGGTGAACGAGGTGGCCAGGTGCCACCAACATGCACTGCACTGGCTTGAGATGGGTGGGGTGATGGGAGTTGGAAGGCGCCTTGGGCAATGCCAGCGCACTGAGGCAACACGCGGGAACTTGACTCACAATGTGCTACGATTGGTCAACTAGGGACGTGCAGCAGCAGACGTGTTAGTGGTGGGTGTGAAGGGGGTACTGTAACGGGCAGTCACGCCTGCCGCATCACTGTATGTTGCCCCATGTGGGCCAATTTGTCGCCAATTTGAGTGGTGGTGGGCGACTCACGTGTTTCGGCGCCAACTCTCGGAAATCAAGGACTGGGGCCCCTAGGCGTACAGTGTAACCGTTTCAGGGTACGCCATACAAGAACCCTGACGCCTCAGGGCAGGCAGGTGTATACTACTCTGAAATCTCAGGGTGATATAAAACTGAAATCTCAGGGCTGAAAAAACCAAGACCCTGATTTTTCAGGGCAAGGGGGTTATGTCAACCCTGAAATCAGGGTAATCAGGGTATTTTACCCTGATATCAAGGGCCCTGACAACACTACCGATTGCTACTTACAAGTTATACAGCCCTCATTCGAACACTCAAAATCCCCTTGCCAATTGCAGGTGTGGTATCTGAGCCCCTACAGAGCACCGCTGCAAAGGCGAGTGGAGTAATACGATGGAAACCTTTTCCAAACTGCCCGAATCTTCAGGCACTATCCTTGTGCTTCTTGCACGAGTGGGCAAGAGGCAGAGGAAGAGAGGGCTGGTGCGGAGCAGCCTGAGATGGGAGGGGCTTGGGGCGGAACAAGAGGCCCTGCAGCACAGTCTGGGCTTCTGAGAGCTGCCTGCGGTGTGTGCACTGGGGAGCAAGGGGGGTTGGGGGGGAGTGAGCAACGGATAGGGGAAGAGAAGGATGTTGAGGAGCAGAGTGAGGTGGAGGAAACAAGAGGCCCTGCAGCACTCTCTGGGCTTCTGAAAGCTGCCTGCGCTGTGTGCACTGGGGAGCAGGTTTGGAGGATGGGAAAGAAGAGATGAGTGGGTACGTGTGGGGAGGAAGAAGAGGAGCATCGCACACAGCTTGCATTGGATAACATTGTGCAAGGCCTGTACCATAACGCCTTGCAGAACATTGGATTGCACTGCAGATGTATGCATGAATACTCCATCCACGTGTCATTCAACACATACTCTCATCCACACCCCCTCATCCACCGCACTGCAACCCTCCTCACCACACTGGACTCCAGGCCTCTCAAGGTGTGTGAGAGCAGAAGAGCGTCCTGCCGCAGTGCTGCCAGCCTCGCCACTGCATTCACAGGCATCTGCCCCACCAGCTGCTGCCGCTGCTGCACCATGTGCCTCGGCTCCCACACTTGCTCTGGAGCATTGCCTGCTGCCCTGTGGAGGAAAGGGAGTGCGAGGGTGGGTGGGAGCTAATGAAGTGCTGTGAGCCTGCCCCACCAGCTGCTGCTTCCATTACAGCACCACGTGCCTCGGCTCCCACACTTGCTCTGGCGCAATGCCTGCTGCCCTGAAATGGATTGAGAGCGTGGATGAAAGGAAATAATGTCAAGCCGCTGCTGCACCACGTGCCTTGCCGTGCCGAGGAGGAGGAGGATGAGGAGGAGGAGGAGGAGGAGGAGGAGGAGGAGGAGGAGGAGGAGGAGGAGGAGGAGGAGGAGGAGGAGGAGGAGGAGGAGGAGGAGGAGGAGGAGGAGGAGGAGGAGGAGGAGGAGGAGGACCAGCAGCAGCAAGAAGGCGCTATCATACACTGCCATCCTGTCTCCTTCAGCTTCAGCAGTCCCCGTCCCTGCAAACGCACTCAAAAGCCAACTCACAACTCTTCTCACACTCTCCTTTCCTCACACTACCTCGAATGCACTCCCTCGCAGCCCTTTCATCACATGTCACACTGCCCCCACTTACATCATCCGCTCAAGCCTCTTCGCCTCCTGCACTCCCCCAGCCAGAGTCACTCTCACCCGTTGCCTCTCCTCCTGTGCAGCAGTGCCCCCTGTGCGCTGCATCATTCATACCCCATGCATGCACGACTGGAAAACACACTCAACAACCTTGTCACACTTTCACTTCCTTGCACTTCCTCGCTTCCACTCCCTCATTTCCCGTCCACATGCCACACTCCCCCCACGCACATGATCCGCGCAAGCCTCCTGGCATCCTGCACGTTTCCCCCCAGCTCTGCTCCCACCCGCTGACTCACACCCCGCCAACACCACGTGCCACACTACCCCCTCCTCACTCACATCATCCGCTCAAGCCGATTGGTTTCCTGCACGCTCCCAGCCAGAGCCGCTCTCACCCGATCCCTCACAGCCTATCAACACCACGTGCCACACTCTCCCTTTTGCACTCACATGATCCGCTCAAGCCACTTTGCTTCCTGCACGTGACGCTCCCAGCCAGCGCAGCGCTTCACTTCCACTCCCCCACAGCCCATGCACACGCCACACTCCCCCCACATGCCACTCTCACACGCCACACTCCCCCCACATGCCACCTTCCCCCCTTCCCCACTCACATGCTCCGCTCAAGCCTCCTCGCTTCCTGCACGCTCCTAGCCATTGCGGCTCGCACCCGCGCCCTCTCCTCCTCGCCCTCCCGAATGCGCCTCTCAAGCTCTGCCACGTGGCTCTGCTGTCGCATCACCTCCCTGCGATGCGCCTGCACCAGTCGCTGCCTCTCCTTGTCGAATCTGGACAAGCGGCGGGATGGGAGGGACGGAGCGGGGAAAGTGGCGGCGTTGAGCGAGAGCAAGGCGTGATGGGGGATGCAGGGACATGGTGCCGCGTCCACCCCCTTCAATGCGCCCGCCACAAACGCTGCTTCTCCTCAAAACAGCCTAGAAAGGAGGAGAGGGGCTGGGAGGAGGTGCGGTGGCAGGGTTTGAGAGGGAGAGACGGGTGGAGGAGGGGGTTGAGCACCAGGCAGGTCAAACCAATCGCCATCTCCCGCGGAAGCGCCTACACCAGTCATCACCTCCCTCCAATGCACCCGCATGGGCCATGCACTGCACTCACCAATATACATCACTTCATCACAGAGACGCAATCATTGGACTCGTCCGTCTCGCTCGCAACCTCGGACAGAAACACACCTGTCCTGAAACCGTCGCTTCCACGAAACTTCACTCGCCGCATCGCCACTCGCTCGAACCATCGGTTGGAACTTTCCTACCCCCGATGCCAACACGCGCGTCCCCACGCCAAGACACCGCGTTTCCTCATCTCGAGAGTTCATCGCGCCTGCCGACAAGGGCGCGTCGTCTAGAGCATTCCGCTTGCTCCCTACAGATTGTACATCCCATACGCCCACGCCGACCGACCCTTCTCCTCTGCCTGCTTGCGAATGCTCCCTCGCGCCTTGCACGCTTTCCGAACGGACACAACTGGGCCCAGATAGCACTTTACGTGCTGATTTTGACGGTTTCCCGGTGGAATCCGAGCCGCCCCAGTATTTATTCCACGCGGATTCCCACAACGCGTCGCACGAACCGAGCCGCCGGAATCGGCGGGAGGCTAGCGCCACGCAGCAGAGATCGCGATAGCCGAGATTCCTCGCGACGCCTAAGCGGAGAACTGTGAGCCAGAGATCGTCGGGTAGCGTGTTCACGACTGACGTCATAGTGGTGGCTGATGCATATGTAGTGCGAGTTGTGGAGCTGAGTTATTTAGAGCTGAAATAAACTGGTGCGACTTCCACGCCGAGTCATTCAGTTGAATATCCACTTCACGAGAGGGTATATTGCACACCCGCTTTGACAACTTCGTTCCATAAGAGGACAGACTATATCGGAGAATCTGTGTCTTGGCGGGGGTGCTTGGATTGCCAATGGTTGGCTGCACGATCTGCGTCCATGGACCAAGATTGCAATTCCAACCAAGGGCAATTTCGCGACGCGTTCTGCACGTTTCAATGCGCGGCGCGGTCTCAACACCCCCCCAACCCACCAAACCTCACAACAGGATTGCTGCGTGCATGCTTGGTCGTCACAAACAAATGTTATCACGCCCCTCTCCATGCTTTCCACCACTCTCAACCGATCCCTCCCGTTTGACGATGTGTCTCCTGGCAGCTCTGGCCTATCTTGTTCACTTGTGACAGCAGCGTTGTTGTGACAGCAGCATTGTAACAGCAGCGTTGTTGTGACAACGTGCTTCCATTCCCCCTGCCTACGAAAGCTGCAGGTATCCAGTACGAAAGCGACCGCTTGAAGTAGTGTGCCGACTGGCTGCATGTGTCAAGGCCCTTTCATTAGGTGTATCCCGGGCCGTGTGATGGTCATAAAAAACATAGAGTACTCTCTCCTGAAGCGTTTTCAAATTCTAATAATCTTATCCACTAGTCCGCTTGAGCTGTAGGTTATCTCTTCCCTCGTCAATCGAGCCACGATGGCGGTGGGCTACCACCCCCGCATGGAAGGCCCCTCCGCCATTCCGCGGCCCAGCGGAATACCTACTTTGAGGCACTCGAGCGTTGGCGCCGTCACGGGTGCTGGTCAACGGCACCGTCATGTCGTTGGAACCGACGAGTTGACGGTGGGAACCGCCATTCCCCTGCCAGGAGACCCGGGACCGTTTTACCTGGGCGAGTGGCGGAAGAGCTCAGAGACGCATCAGCACGGGGAACCGCAAAATGCATGGGCGGATCAAAAGGCGGCGGAGGCGCAGCAGGCATGGGAGACGGAAAAAGCATGGGAGGCCCAAAAGCCGGCGGAGGCGCAAAGGGCGGAGGAGGCGCAAAAGGCGGAGGAGGCGCAAAAGGCAGAAGCGGCGCAAAAGGCAGCGGATCTGAAGCGGAGGGTAAAGGAGCTGGAGCGAGCTAGCCGCGAGCAGGAGAAGGAACTGACGTCGCTGAGATCCCAGGTGCGTTCCCCGTGACTCGCGCTCTTGCAGAAGGGTTGCACCCGAGGCCGCCCTGAGAGTATGGTCAGGAATAGCCGCAAAATTACGTACTCAAACAGCAACTGCACGGGAGCGAGGAGGAAGGGTATAAAGCGGTACTAATGTGATAGCTTTTGAGGTGCTCGATGCTCAACGGCTCGGCGCGGCATGCGGTGTTGTAGTGCTCATGTATCTCGCTGCAACGCATGAGTGCCGGAAACACACTTGAGATAGCGGCATAACTTCCAAGCCGCGTGGAAGTTAGCCCAGCATATTTCCGTCTGCTGCGCCACCAAACAAACCATCCTATCATCTTCTCACCATCGGATTTCCCGAGTGGGCGTTTATTATCGGTACGAAAGAGTTAGTTGCCTCTCTTTTCATGCATTTTTCGCCCCCGTCGTTCCACCCGCCGTGCCTTTTGAACAGAAAATTGCAGCAGAGCAGAGCCTTCGACGGGAAAAGGAAGCTTCCGCGTTGCTGCAGCAGATGTTACAGCAGGAGCGGGAGGCGAAGGCGGTGATGCTAGCGGCGCGAGAGGACGAGGCTGCCGAGATCGACGGAGAGAAACGCGCTTTGATTGCGCGGAGCAGGCAGCTAGCAGCGCGGGTGGAGCGAGCGGAGGAGCGAATGGAGGGGCTGGAGCAGGAGAAGGAGGCCGTCATACTCGATCGCGACGCGATTGCTATGGAGTCGGAGTAAGTCAGCAGTCACGATCTATCCTCATAGGTGGAACAGTGCGCGCAGGTGCCCTGGTGACCATCGACAACGAGAGCGTGAGAAGTGTGAGTTCATAAGCTCACTGCCTGCTTCGCTATTATCGCTCACCTTTCCTGTCGTGTTTTTTTCGTGGCAGGGTGCTGGTGGAGCGACTCGGGGAGGTGGAACAGATGGTGGAGATGCTTCGGCAGGAGAACGTGAATCTCGAGGCAGAGCTGTTGGCCGCACAGCGGTCCCGAGATACGTACTGGACGCACAGTATTTCACTGTACCAGGATAAAGCAAAGTAAGTTGGTTTTACTGTATACAAAAAGTGGAGGATGTTAGGTGCGACTTCGGGCATATTCTGTGCTGCATAATTCTCTGTAGATGGTCATCAGTAATAACAAAACTGTTTTTGTTTGATACTCTACTCTTGGCAGGCTGGAAGAGCAGTTAGCTCAACTAAGCAGCATCAGTAGCAACCTGGCCAGCTCAGGAGGCCGGACCAAGGCTGCAGCTACTTCGGGAAGGAAAATCCAGACCCCCACCAGAGCAGGAGCAGGTGGTGCAGCAGCAGCAGCAGGTGGCGGGCGACGAAACTCCCTCCCATTTCCTAATCCACGCTCTTCAGCAACCCCTTTCTCCTCCCTAGAGACCTTCACGTCCCCATTTGCACTCAACCCAACCACTCTCAACTCCGTCCCACAGCTGCTGAAGCAGCAGCTCGCGTTTGGCACAGTGTACGAGTGCCCGCCTCTGCTCGCATCAGCGTCCATGTCAGCATCCACGTCACAGCACGGTGGGCTCGACATGGTGCGAGCAGCCAGCATTGCCAGTGGGGCCCCTTGTACTGCTAATGCTGCTGCTGCTGGTGGCGCATTCAGTGCAGCAGGGGGGTTTGACTCAGCAGGCATGCGCAGGAGTGGGAGCTTCAATGCATGCCAGTCATCGTCTTCTGCTCTCCTCACGCGCAGCCTCTCGAGCAACACGGCGGAGCACAGGGCACGGCAGGCCAGCAGCGGCATGCTGGCAGCGGCAGCTGCAGTTAGTGGTGGTGGTGGCAGGAGTGAGATCCTGAATGGAGCTGCAGGCCTGGCTGCCGTGCATGAGGGCCCTGAATGACCCGGTTCGCGCTGATTGGCCCTGAATGGCTTTGAAGCAACAAATACTGATGAGAAAACATAGGCACTGGATTTGTAGGATTGCTCATGTTTGACTGGAAGGAAGCGAGTGGGTGTCCGAGCACATGGAGTGTGGTGGGAGGAAGCCTATGGGAGACAGCAAGCACAGCACAGCACAGCGCATGCCTATGACAGCGGCACTGTCTCTAATGTGTGGCATGCAAGCTCATGGGTGCGAAGGGTCCATATGCTTCAGAATAATGCACTTGAAGGGATTTGCTGATAGCAAAGTGTATACAGGTGCGGCACTTGCCTTTTACGGGAAGGGTTCTGTTGGAGACTTTTTCTTCAACCCTGAGTGTGTCCGCTAATCCTGTTGCTGAACACTTAGTCTAACTCGACAGCCTTTTGAAGTACAATATGGAGGTCTTTGTTGGGCTGAGTGCCCCTTAGGATCTTTGGTAGGGTTAATCTCTGGGTAGAATGATGTAGTAGCGGAAGCGTTAACAAAGAGATTCTGAACCACCTTGCGCTAGTATGTGAGGGCAAAGTAAGTTGATTAAAACAAGGAGATACAAGATTTTATATATGATTACAAGGAATACGAAGAGATACGAATGATAACTGTTTTACTGTTGGCTGTTGCGGTTCGATACAGTGCGACTCGGGCAACTGCTCAATATCGAGTCAGTTGTGTGTCCTTGCTGTCGCGCTGCATTTGTCAAGTCAAAGGTCGCTGACCTTTGACCTTCGCGTAACCTCCAGCTGTTGCTTCAACTTCCGAGGGTTGACTCGCTGGTGCCTCGATATGCGTTGCTTCACTTGTGTCTTTAGTGTTTCGACACGACAGAGGCGCTTAGGACCGATTGTTTCCAACACTCCCCTTCGCTTCTGGAGTGTCGCTGACGTGGCTCTGTCCAGTCAGCAGCATGCAATATTCGAATTTCTGCTTTCCGAGCTTCTTGGTCAGGTAGTCAGCTGCCATTTCGGACGTGGGGCAGTATGACAGCTCGAGCCAGGCCCTACGATATCAGGAATTTTACCCTGAAATTCCTGATTTTCAGGGTTTTTTTTTTACCTACCCTGAAAATCCAGTGTTCAGCTTTTCCTAGGGCTGATTTTTCAGCCTTCACATGCCACATGACTCTGAACTTTCAGCAATTTTTTTGAAGTGACACTGATGCCTTTACGTTGTAACGAGTTTGACCCTGAAAGCGAATCCTACTAGGTACGAGTGTACTTGACCGGAAGTACTGGGAAAATCAGATTCCCGCGGTGTCAGCAGGGCCTGTCGTTGACTATCGGACAATTTTGCCCACACTGATGGCCCCTTAGTTGGCGCGCCTGGTCCGTTCATTGGCCACATTTGCAACATTAAGTGACTTGACCAATTACAAGGTTGCAGCACAGAGATGCTGGCAGGCTGCGCTGCGAGGGATTCTGGCGGTCTAGGTCGTGCTGGCAAGCACTGATGCATCCACGCCTCCCAGCCGTGCTACCTGCCATCCAGCCTCACATCCCGTTCTGCTGTTTGCTTCCTTCCTAGTGTTTTTACTACTAGTAAAATAAAGACTACCGTACTAGTATCAGCCTTTTTATGTAGGGAACACTGATGCATCAGACTTTTTTTTTAAGTAACACTGAACTTTCAGGCTTTTTTTTTAGGCGACCCTGACGATCAGGGTCTAGGGGCAGAGGGACCCTGATACCCTTACGTGCCTAAAAGTGAATCTGAGGGCCTGGCTCGAGCCTTCCCTTCTCGATCTCGTCCTTCACGAAGAAGTATCGCACGGCGATGTGTTTCGTCCTGTTCGCAAAACCGTTCTTGTTGGCGATGCGAATTGCCGACTGGTTGTCGCAGAACAGGGTAAAGTTGGGTAACTCGGCTAACTTCGCTTCTTCCAGCAGCTCGCGAAGATAGAGTCCTTCCTTGGTGGCTGAGCAGAGTGCAATATATTCTGCTTCAGCTGACGAGAGAGCAATTAGTTCCTGCTTGCTCGATTGCCAGGAGATAGGCCCGATAGGCTCGAAGCGATAGATGTAGCCGGTGCGTGATCGTCTGTTGTCGGAGTCGCCCGCGTGATTTGCGTCGACATAACCGATTAGCTTAGGTGGCGTGGTCGCGTTCTTCTAATATGTTAGGCCGATCGTTGGCGTACTGACGAGATAGTGTAGAGCGCGGTCGAGTTCGGCCATGTGTTTTGCTTCAGGCCTTTTGAGATGAGTGGCGAGCTGGCTTGCGGAGTATGAGAGGTCGGGGCGGCAGGTAACGGCTGCGAAGAGAAGGCATCCTAGCTTTCTCTGGTAGTCGCGTATCCCGACAGATTTGAGTAGAGTGGATCCTTCCTCGTGGTTTCCTGTCGCGTAGCGGTAGGGCGTAGAGATGGTGGTAGGCGTGAGCGTGAAGCGTTTGGCGATGGTGTTGGCGTACTTAGTGGTGTTGAGGTAGATCGCATCTTCTTCCTCTCGAATGTTCAAGCCGAGGTACTGTGTGACGGTAGAGGAGACCGTGAGTGTGAGGTCCCTCTGTAACTCCCCTTCGAACCAGGTGGTGATGTCGTCAGTGGAGCCGATGTAGAGTAGGTCGTCTACGTAGACGATCAGCAGGATGTAGTTGGTACCCTTCGTGAGTCGGTACATTCCTTGGTCGTGAGGTAGTTGGCGGAATCCGATGCGAATGAGGCGAGCGTGTAGGTACTGTTGCCACAGCCGCGGGGCTTGTTTGATTCCGTAGAGCGATTTCAGCAGCTGGCAAACCTGGTTGGGCTCTCAGTTAGTACCGTGCGGTAGTTCCACGAAGATCTCTGCGTCGACAGGTGCGTAGAGGAACGCGTTGGCGACATCGATTTGCCGTAGCTTCCTTTTCTTCATGGCGGCGATCGCGAGGAGGATTCGAAGTGAGGTATGTCGGCTAACCGGGGCGAATGTCTCGGTGAAGTCCCGTCCGTGCTCCTGATCGAATCCACGCACAACCCAGCGTGCTTTGAACTTCTCAATTGTGCCGTCTGCTTTTGTTTTAACGCGGAAGACCCATTTCCCGGTGAGAATGGTCTTGTTCCTTGCCACGTTGATGGGGACAACTTTCCAGGTGTTCCGTTCCTCCAGCGCTTTTAACTCTCTGTCCATGGCTTCACGCCATTTTTCCCTGTGTTCCCCCCCCAGAGCCTGCTGAACCGTCGCAGGCTCCTTAGGAAGGGTGTTGCCGTGGACTGCGGTGACGAGGCCGAGTATCTGCAGTCCAGTCTGTGAGTAGCGGGGAAGAGTTGCATCCTCGGGATAAGCTGCTTCATCTCCCGCTTCTGGATCAGGTATGAAATTCGGTCCTACTCGTTCTGCTTCGTTGGTGTTGACTGTCGCAGGTGTTACGTAACCGTTGTCGGCGAAGTAGTAGAAGGTTTCGGCATTGACAATTTTGCGAGGGTTGTCTTCGTCCATGGGAACGTCGACGGAGCAGAACGGGAGAGGTCCGGCTTCTTCTGACGCGTTGTCCACATTCTGCTCGTCCCAGTCAGCTTCGTCTTCTGCGGAGGCGAAGGCTCGGTCGCCACGAAAACCACCTGTGGGATCTTGGTCCTCTTGCAGGTTGGCAAGGTACGTCTGGAGCGTGAGTCGTTCATAGAAAATGACGTCACGTGCTGCTACTGTTTCCTTGGAGTGGACTGTGAAACAAGTGAACAAGAATGAAATGACTAAGGAAAGATTGGGTACAAATACAACCCTAGAAACCCTGTACCCCATATGTGCTACCCCACTATAGCCTACAGCAAATATGTCATATAAATCTGACACACCCCCATAGGCAAAGTGGGGGAGAGCAAGGGGTCACAAGACCAGTCAAGTAAAGCAAAGCAGAGCAAGCTCAGGGTGGATCACAACGTCACCACACAGTCCGAGCACAAGAGCAGGGCCAGAGGCCAGTTCACATGCAGGAGTACAGACATATATATATAAAACTAGACAAGCAAGAGCAGGTATATATATGTCACAGTACAAGTAAAGTCAAGAGGAGAGCAAGTGAGGCAAGACAGGCACAAGACCCAGCTGGGTGCAGAGGCGCTGATGGTCACAAAGCGCGAGTGCCTTGGTGAACACATCAGCAGTGTTGGCCTCAGAGGCCACGTACGGTGGTGAGGACGCACAGTATTTCACTGTATACAAAAAGTGGAGGATGTTAGGTGCGACTTCGGGCATATTCTGTGCTGCATAATTCTCTGTAGATGGTCATCAGTAATAACAAAACTGTTTTTGTTTGATACTCTACTCTTGGCAGGCTGGAAGAGCAGTTAGCTCAACTAAGCAGCATCAGTAGCAACCTGGCCAGCTCAGGAGGCCGGACCAAGGCTGCAGCTACTTTGGGAAGGAAAATCCAGACCCCCACCAGAGCAGGAGCAGGTGGTGCAGCAGCAGCAGCAGGTGGCGGGCGACGAAACTCCCTCCCATTTCCTAATCCACGCTCTTCAGCAACCCCTTTCTCCTCCCTAGAGACCTTCACGTCCCCATTTGCACTCAACCCAACCACTCTCAACTCCGTCCCACAGCTGCTGAAGCAGCAGCTCGCGTTTGGCACAGTGTACGAGTGCCCGCCTCTGCTCGCATCAGCGTCCATGTCAGCATCCACGTCACAGCACGGTGGGCTCGACATGGTGCGAGCAGCCAGCATTGCCAGTGGGGCCCCTTGTACTGCTAATGCTGCTGCTGCTGGTGGCACATTCAGTGCAGCAGGGGGGTTTGACTCAGCAGGCATGCGCAGGAGTGGGAGCTTCAATGCATGCCAGTCATCGTCTTCTGCTCTCCTCACGCGCAGCCTCTCGAGCAACACGGCGGAGCACAGGGCACGGCAGGCCAGCAGCGGCATGCTGGCAGCGGCAGCTGCAGTTAGTGGTGGTGGTGGCAGGAGTGAGATCCTGAATGGAGCTGCAGGCCTGGCTGCCGTGCATGAGGGCCCTGAATGACCCGGTTCGCGCTGATTGGCCCTGAATGGCTTTGAAGCAACAAATACTGATGAGAAAACATAGGCACTGGATTTGTAGGATTGCTCATGTTTGACTGGAAGGAAGCGAGTGGGTGTCCGAGCACATGGAGTGTGGTGGGAGGAAGCCTATGGGAGACAGCAAGCACAGCACAGCACAGCGCATGCCTATGACAGCGGCACTGTCTCTAATGTGTGGCATGCAAGCTCATGGGTGCGAAGGGTCCATATGCTTCAGAATAATGCACTTGAAGGGATTTGCTGATAGCAAAGTGTATACAGGTGCGGCACTTGCCTTTTACGGGAAGGGTTCTGTTGGAGACTTTTTCTTCAACCCTGAGTGTGTCCGCTAATCCTGTTGCTGAACACTTAGTCTAACTCGACAGCCTTTTGAAGTACAATATGGAGGTCTTTGTTGGGCTGAGTGCCCCTTAGGATCTTTGGTAGGGTTAATCTCTGGGTAGAATGATGTAGTAGCGGAAGCGTTAACAAAGAGATTCTGAACCACCTTGCGCTAGTATGTGAGGGCAAAGTAAGTTGATTAAAACAAGGAGATACAAGATTTTATATATGATTACAAGGAATACGAAGAGATACGAATGATAACTGTTTTACTGTTGGCTGTTGCGGTTCGATACAGTGCGACTCGGGCAACTGCTCAATATCGAGTCAGTTGTGTGTCCTTGCTGTCGCGCTGCATTTGTCAAGTCAAAGGTCGCTGACCTTTGACCTTCGCGTAACCTCCAGCTGTTGCTTCAACTTCCGAGGGTTGACTCGCTGGTGCCTCGATATGCGTTGCTTCACTTGTGTCTTTAGTGTTTCGACACGACAGAGGCGCTTAGGACCGATTGTTTCCAACACTCCCCTTCGCTTCTGGAGTGTCGCTGACGTGGCTCTGTCCAGTCAGCAGCATGCAATATTCGAATTTCTGCTTTCCGAGCTTCTTGGTCAGGTAGTCAGCTGCCATTTCGGACGTGGGGCAGTATGACAGCTCGAGCCAGGCCCTACGATATCAGGAATTTTACCCTGAAATTCCTGATTTTCAGGGTTTTTTTTTTACCTACCCTGAAAATCCAGTGTTCAGCTTTTCCTAGGGCTGATTTTTCAGCCTTCACATGCCACATGACTCTGAACTTTCAGCAATTTTTTTGAAGTGACACTGATGCCTTTACGTTGTAACGAGTTTGACCCTGAAAGCGAATCCTACTAGGTACGAGTGTACTTGACCGGAAGTACTGGGAAAATCAGATTCCCGCGGTGTCAGCAGGGCCTGTCGTTGACTATCGGACAATTTTGCCCACACTGATGGCCCCTTAGTTGGCGCGCCTGGTCCGTTCATTGGCCACATTTGCAACATTAAGTGACTTGACCAATTACAAGGTTGCAGCACAGAGATGCTGGCAGGCTGCGCTGCGAGGGATTCTGGCGGTCTAGGTCGTGCTGGCAAGCACTGATGCATCCACGCCTCCCAGCCGTGCTACCTGCCATCCAGCCTCACATCCCGTTCTGCTGTTTGCTTCCTTCCTAGTGTTTTTACTACTAGTAAAATAAAGACTACCGTACTAGTATCAGCCTTTTTATGTAGGGAACACTGATGCATCAGACTTTTTTTTTAAGTAACACTGAACTTTCAGGCTTTTTTTTTAGGCGACCCTGACGATCAGGGTCTAGGGGCAGAGGGACCCTGATACCCTTACGTGCCTAAAAGTGAATCTGAGGGCCTGGCTCGAGCCTTCCCTTCTCGATCTCGTCCTTCACGAAGAAGTATCGCACGGCGATGTGTTTCGTCCTGTTCGCAAAACCGTTCTTGTTGGCGATGCGAATTGCCGACTGGTTGTCGCAGAACAGGGTAAAGTTGGGTAACTCGGCTAACTTCGCTTCTTCCAGCAGCTCGCGAAGATAGAGTCCTTCCTTGGTGGCTGAGCAGAGTGCAATATATTCTGCTTCAGCTGACGAGAGAGCAATTAGTTCCTGCTTGCTCGATTGCCAGGAGATAGGCCCGATAGGCTCGAAGCGATAGATGTAGCCGGTGCGTGATCGTCTGTTGTCGGAGTCGCCCGCGTGATTTGCGTCGACATAACCGATTAGCTTAGGTGGCGTGGTCGCGTTCTTCTAATATGTTAGGCCGATCGTTGGCGTACTGACGAGATAGTGTAGAGCGCGGTCGAGTTCGGCCATGTGTTTTGCTTCAGGCCTTTTGAGATGAGTGGCGAGCTGGCTTGCGGAGTATGAGAGGTCGGGGCGGCAGGTAACGGCTGCGAAGAGAAGGCATCCTAGCTTTCTCTGGTAGTCGCGTATCCCGACAGATTTGAGTAGAGTGGATCCTTCCTCGTGGTTTCCTGTCGCGTAGCGGTAGGGCGTAGAGATGGTGGTAGGCGTGAGCGTGAAGCGTTTGGCGATGGTGTTGGCGTACTTAGTGGTGTTGAGGTAGATCGCATCTTCTTCCTCTCGAATGTTCAAGCCGAGGTACTGTGTGACGGTAGAGGAGACCGTGAGTGTGAGGTCCCTCTGTAACTCCCCTTCGAACCAGGTGGTGATGTCGTCAGTGGAGCCGATGTAGAGTAGGTCGTCTACGTAGACGATCAGCAGGATGTAGTTGGTACCCTTCGTGAGTCGGGACATTCCTTGGTCGTGAGGTAGTTGGCGGAATCCGATGCGAATGAGGCGAGCGTGTAGGTACTGTTGCCACAGCCGCGGGGCTTGTTTGATTCCGTAGAGCGATTTCAGCAGCTGGCAAACCTGGTTGGGCTCTCAGTTAGTACCGTGCGGTAGTTCCACGAAGATCTCTGCGTCGACAGGTGCGTAGAGGAACGCGTTGGCGACATCGATTTGCCGTAGCTTCCTTTTCTTCATGGCGGCGATCGCGAGGAGGATTCGAAGTGAGGTATGTCGGCTAACCGGGGCGAATGTCTTGGTGAAGTCCCGTCCGTGCTCCTGATCGAATCCACGCACAACCCAGCGTGCTTTGAACTTCTCAATTGTGCCGTCTGCTTTTGTTTTAACGCGGAAGACCCATTTCCCGGTGAGAATGGTCTTGTTCCTTGCCACGTTGATGGGGACAACTTTCCAGGTGTTCCGTTCCTCCAGCGCTTTTAACTCTCTGTCCATGGCTTCACGCCATTTTTCCCTGTGTTCCCCCCCCAGAGCCTGCTGAACCGTCGCAGGCTCCTTAGGAAGGGTGTTGCCGTGGACTGCGGTGACGAGGCCGAGTATCTGCAGTCCAGTCTGTGAGTAGCGGGGAAGAGTTGCATCCTCGGGATAAGCTGCTTCATCTCCCGCTTCTGGATCAGGTATGAAATTCGGTCCTACTCGTTCTGCTTCGTTGGTGTTGACTGTCGCAGGTGTTACGTAACCGTTGTCGGCGAAGTAGTAGAAGGTTTCGGCATTGACAATTTTGCGAGGGTTGTCTTCGTCCATGGGAACGTCGACGGAGCAGAACGGGAGAGGTCCGGCTTCTTCTGACGCGTTGTCCACATTCTGCTCGTCCCAGTCAGCTTCGTCTTCTGCGGAGGCGAAGGCTCGGTCGCCACGAAAACCACCTGTGGGATCTTGGTCCTCTTGCAGGTTGGCAAGGTACGTCTGGAGCGTGAGTCGTTCATAGAAAATGACGTCACGTGCTGCTACTGTTTCCTTGGAGTGGACTGTGAAACAAGTGAACAAGAATGAAATGACTAAGGAAAGATTGGGTACAAATACAACCCTAGAAACCCTGTACCCCATATGTGCTACCCCACTATAGCCTACAGCAAATATGTCATATAAATCTGACACACCCCCATAGGCAAAGTGGGGGAGAGCAAGGGGTCACAAGACCAGTCAAGTAAAGCAAAGCAGAGCAAGCTCAGGGTGGATCACAACGTCACCACACAGTCCGAGCACAAGAGCAGGGCCAGAGGCCAGTTCACATGCAGGAGTACAGACATATATATATAAAACTAGACAAGCAAGAGCAGGTATATATATGTCACAGTACAAGTAAAGTCAAGAGGAGAGCAAGTGAGGCAAGACAGGCACAAGACCCAGCTGGGTGCAGAGGCGCTGATGGTCACAAAGCGCGAGTGCCTTGGTGAACACATCAGCAGTGTTGGCCTCAGAGGCCACGTACGGTGGTGGGGACGCACAGTATTTCACTGTATACAAAAAGTGGAGGATGTTAGGTGCGACTTCGGGCATATTCTGTGCTGCATAATTCTCTGTAGATGGTCATCAGTAATAACAAAACTGTTTTTGTTTGATACTCTACTCTTGGCAGGCTGGAAGAGCAGTTAGCTCAACTAAGCAGCATCAGTAGCAACCTGGCCAGCTCAGGAGGCCGGACCAAGGCTGCAGCTACTTCGGGAAGGAAAATCCAGACCCCCACCAGAGCAGGAGCAGGTGGTGCAGCAGCAGCAGCAGGTGGCGGGCGACGAAACTCCCTCCCATTTCCTAATCCACGCTCTTCAGCAACCCCTTTCTCCTCCCTAGAGACCTTCACGTCCCCATTTGCACTCAACCCAACCACTCTCAACTCCGTCCCACAGCTGCTGAAGCAGCAGCTCGCGTTTGGCACAGTGTACGAGTGCCCGCCTCTGCTCGCATCAGCGTCCATGTCAGCATCCACGTCACAGCACGGTGGGCTCGACATGGTGCGAGCAGCCAGCATTGCCAGTGGGGCCCCTTGTACTGCTAATGCTGCTGCTGCTGGTGGCACATTCAGTGCAGCAGGGGGGTTTGACTCAGCAGGCATGCGCAGGAGTGGGAGCTTCAATGCATGCCAGTCATCGTCTTCTGCTCTCCTCACGCGCAGCCTCTCGAGCAACACGGCGGAGCACAGGGCACGGCAGGCCAGCAGCGGCATGCTGGCAGCGGCAGCTGCAGTTAGTGGTGGTGGTGGCAGGAGTGAGATCCTGAATGGAGCTGCAGGCCTGGCTGCCGTGCATGAGGGCCCTGAATGACCCGGTTCGCGCTGATTGGCCCTGAATGGCTTTGAAGCAACAAATACTG